GCTTTCCTGAGGGTCTTCTTTAGGCTTTGATGCTTATAGCTGATGATGCCAGGTCAAGGCAGGATGGTGTATGCCACCCAAAATCCTCCACTTCCCAGACTCCCTTGCATGTGACTGGATTCTGCCCAGAGGGATGTGGACAAAGTGATATCAGTCATTTGCAGGGCTGGCCTTTAAAAGCATCTCAGCAACCACCCATTTCTGTCTTCCCCGACCACAGAAATCTTGACATCACAAGTTTCAGCTGGTGAACTGCAGAGATGTGGGGGTTATTTGTTACTGCAGCATAGCCTTTCCCATTCTAACAGGGAGCATAAAAGGGAGTATTCCTCTGACCAAGGAAGGCCCTCCTCAGCCCTATGAGCCATCTCCCAGATGGGGGCTGTTCCTCCCCAGACCTGCTGATGAGCAAGGACATCTCTCCCAACCTCTGATGATAGAACCTCAAGCAGCTGTCATGGTCAGGAGCAGCATCCTTGTATCAAAAGCTGCCCAGGAGCCACTCTGTTCCTAATTCTCTAAGGAAAAGCTGAAACTGGTAAAGTAATTGAACTGAGTTAGGTTTTCCTGAAAAGACTTTCACATTGAGCTCATTTAGAAGGACAGAGAGGATTTCAGGCTCTAAACAGTACAGAACCCCTTCCATTTTGGTTGAAAATATCCTTGCTGGGGTCCAAAAACAGAATCTTATCTGTTGAGAATTTGTGCAACTTAAAGTTCCTTCGTTACAGAAAGTCTACCAGGGCTGTCACGTGGTGTGACCCATGAATGTGGGTGGGACTGCTTGGTATTTTCATACTGTTGGAAACAGTGGCCTTGTTGATCTCAGAGAGTCCCAGATTAAGCTGATTTCGCTATTTTTAATCTCTCCGGAAATAAGCAAAGAAGAGAAGCCTAATTGCAAACAGACAGAACTTTACATAGGAAATATGCAGGTCCCCCGAGGCACCTAGAAAGTGTCTGAAACCCTAACAGCCTCCCCACCTCCCCCAGCCCCTACTCCCCTCTCCAGAGCAGGGCTGGTCTGCACCCAGGGAGGCCTAGGGCAACAGGAGGGATTGGAATCAGTTCAGCCATGGCCTTGGACTGGCCAAACCAGTCCAGCCACCCCCTTGGGCCTGAGGCAGGGGCTTTGCATGAGAAACAGGAAGACATTTTGCCCACAGTTTGAACCATGACTTTGGGAAGGCTCTTTTTTCTCTCATCCCCATTTCTGGTCTGCCTCTATTCTATGCTTGTCAAATTCCAGGCATGGGTAAGATTTCAAACACCACCACCAAGTCTGCAACACACATACACACACACATCACCCCCACTGCAATCCCATTTGCCACGCACTGGGATTTGTGGCCAAGTGTGGCCCAATAAGAGCTTTATAACAGTTCACATAGCCCCCAGCCATCCCTATAAGTATAGTGTTAAAGTCCCAGCCAGAACCCTGGGCCTTGCTGGCAGCTGTGCTGCTGTGTCACTGCAGGAGGCAAGACAAGGCCATATAGCCTGCTGTGCCTCAGTTTCCCTGCCTATCAGTTTGGACAACCATGACTGCAGCTAATTCTGAATTGTCTGCCTGCTGGTGGGACCAGGAACTGGAGGGGCTCCGATTTACAGCACCGAAGTTCCAGAATGAGTCAGAGAAGAGAGAGACCAAAACAGATTGGGAGCCACAGGCCCAGAAAGGCAACCTAAGATTAGACATGCTGCCAAGAGGGCCAACCGATGACTTTATTGAGGGCTTTTGCTCATAAACAGCCAGTGTGATATTTTAACTTCCATGGACCAGGCCACCCCTTCCCTGTGATGGGAAGTTTGGGATTGGAGCCATTCATGGGCCCTGCTGTTGTGGAGGTCACCCCGGGAGCTGGGGCTCTTCCAAAAGAAATCAGCATGGGGTTCAGGGGCTTGGCGAATGGCTGGACAGATGGACAGTCTTTGGGTGAGAAAGTCGTGGCTCCAAGGCAGGCAGGGGTGGCAAGCGCTCTCTCTGCTGCAGCACTGCCCGTGGGAGTGAGTCTTTGTTTAGGGGGTATTTCTGCTAAGGGGCCCTCTTCCCTTACTTTCACTTCGGGTCTCATGAATCCACGGAGAGGGCAGTAGGCCAGGAGCACAGACATGGAAAGGGTCCAAGAACTGCTACCACAGTTCCCATGCCTGGGAGTCCCTGGGCCCCCACAGTCCCCAGCAATGGCTTTCCAAGTCTCACATCCTGACCCCTCCCATCCTCTGCCTCATTACATGGTCCGCTTCATCCTCCTGGCCTTCTGTTCCTTTCAGTTCTCCCTTCCGCATGAACAGCAGCACGTGCAGGTCCATCCCACCTTTAGCTCCCACCACAGTGCTCCAGGCAGCGAAACTGGATTGCAGTTTGCCAGCAGCAGTGCTCGAGACCCACACTTGTTTGTTTGTAGATGGGGCTCACAAAACACCTCATTTCGGCACAGAACACTCTTCCCTCTCACTGGCAGCTGTCAACTACCCATCCATTTCCCACCGAGTCAAGCCGGTGTCTGTGGGCTGGTTCACAGATGCTCCAAGGATGAAGATCTCTTCAATGGCTACCAGACTGCATACTGATGCCAGCATCTGCCATTGGCCCTCCCAAGATGGTAGCTTGTGGAGACACAACCTTGATCTAGCCTCTTCTTAGTCCAGCTCTGTTAGCAAATAAAACCTTGCCAAAGGCCACCCTGGACTGTCCATGAGGTGCCCAGATAACTGGGTAAACCACCATCCTGGGGGGCTTGCTAGAGAGGCAGTATGAGGACAGAGGCATGAGGAGAGGTCAGGGGCAAATCTTAGATTTTTGGGCAAGCCATTGCTTGTAACATGTGTCTATATGGAAAAAAGCACATAGGAACTTACCATGGAAAAGAAGCCTTTAAAGCCCTCCAGGATGTAGCCCTATCCTACGGCAGCTCCAGTGGGTTCTGTCATGCCTTCCACCATGTGAATTCTGCCTTGGCCAGACCTACACACCCACCCTTTTTCCTGCGGCACCCATGCTGTTTGTCCTGGCTCCCATTTCCTTCGCCCTTAACATCTATCTAGATTTTGTCTAGCTTCAACCCTGCCCAACCTCAAGCGCCTTCCCATGGCCAGACTTCTGGGAAGCCCAGAGCTTCCATCCCCTCTCCTCCACTCATGACTCTTTGGTCTACTCCACACTGTTTGCCCGTTCACTGTTTCATCATCTGTTCTCTGTTTCAGGGGTGTTGGCCTTTGTCTCCCTGAGTCTGTGTATCCCTCAGCCTTGTCCCAGAATTTGTGCTCTAAGGATGCCTCCCCAGTGCTCTGAACACTGTACAGCCTTAGGCAATACTATGGATTTGACTGGTTATTCAAAATGGAATTTAAGTAATCAGAAAGATGCATAAGCTAGAAGGACTGTAACATTGTCAGTGAAACTCTTGAGTGTGGGCCCAGCTGGTCCCTTCTTGGAGGCAGCGGTGTAGTAGGTCTTCCTTGTTAGGCTGTCCCTTGAGAGTCCTAGAATCCCACAGAGGCCCATGAAAGGTGGTGTTTGTTAAGAGTGTCCTACAAACAAACAAGGTCATACATACAAAGCCAGAGAGCTCAAGAATGTTAGTTCTACAAGTCCAGGTGAAGAGAATGAAATTTACAGACTCAGTGACATCTTTGAGGTGGCGAGTCCCAGAGGCTAATATTTTTTTTTTTTGAGAGGGCATCTCTCATATTTATTGATCAAATGGTTGTTAACAACAATAAAATTCTGTATAGGGGAGTCAATCCTGAATGCACAATTATTAATCCATCTCAAGCCTAATTCTCGTCAGTCTCCAA